GCCGAATACCTCAAGCGTGTGACAGAAATGTTACGCCCCTTACCATATTGTGATGCCTTGTCCGGCCGGAGCGACAAGACAAAAACATTAAAAGCCATTATAAACTAGGCATTTGTTACAAACAAAGTAGTTTCGCTTTCACAATGAAACACAGCATCACACACCGCGGCCGTGGCCTAGAGTGAGCGGAGGCCAGTTTGAGTGAGCAGAGGCGGGCGGGCTTGAAAATGGCGATTCGACGAAGGAGCGTCTGGCGGACTTGCGGCAACCACATGTGACGACCCCGGGCTGGACTCTAGGCGTGGTTGACTCTTAACTTTTATAAAGAATATCTCTTTGGATTTGAGACTTTAGTCTTTGCAACTTTACAGATTTTCTTTATGCACCAAGAGCTTGTAACACTCCAAAGAGAAAGGAAAAATTGAAATCGCATCATATGACCCCTTTAACGCCAACCATTTCTAGCACACTCGCTTGGAAGTTCGTAGTAATTCTGAAGACCTTGATTAGCAGATTCAGGTGTGTTTTATAGGATTGCAGCTAAACTCTACTGAAGGCCTGTTTCACACCGCAAGCTTTGCGGCAGTTTTGCGTCAACTTCACATCAGCATAACTACATTGTCACTGCAGCTGCAGACTCGCGAGAGTATTCACACTGGAAGTGTTTGTACAGCATCACAGCAGCGGCTTCAAAGCTACATATTTCTTTACAAAGACTGTTTTTAGAAATTGGCCATTTATAAACTTGATAGTCTTGAAAGTTTGTTAACAGGGGGATTCACGTTAACATGTGGATTTGCATGTAAATGGTAAACAACAAACACAACCAAGAAAACAGCTATGATCACGTAGTTCCAGTCATACTTTGATATAGAACGTGCGGTTTATAATGTTTTTTTAAATTTTTATAATACACCATTCACATACACTTTTCCCCAAACTGAATAATTAAAAACACGTTCAAAAGGGTAAATGTTCTATACATATTTAATTTTTCTTTTCTGACACACTCCAATTCTTGTTAAAACACACAAGACATGCTTATTCTTTGCATTTTTAACACCTTTTGTGTGAAATGATATTTGTTTTGTTCATCAAAAGTGTGCTTTAGTTTTAATTGAGCATGAACAGTGCAGCAAAAACAGACTCGGCGTCGAAACATTCCTTCACTGCTGCTCATGCAACGCTCCTGCTTGATGCTCTTATTTGTTACTGAAAAAAATATGCACTGCTCACATTTGCTGTGTGAAACCAGCTGAACAAACCAGAAACAGGTTTGAACAACCCTGTTCTATATATTATAAATGAGTGTAGTACAGTATGAATGTAATCCAGACGTACCAATTTTTCCTGTTGTCATGTTAACATGTATTTAAATCTAGCTACTGCATTCAACTGATTCATTGAAAATCTATGTCCTTCTTACATAAACAACTTTTTATAATTCCCCTCAGCCATTGCTAGTAACGCAAGGTTTTTGAATTAGTAACAGAAGCCTGAATTCATCTAGCAACTTAAGTTTATGAAAGGTTCAAATCACATTGTTCGCATTCGCTGAAGCGAAAGTTATTTTCTTTCCAATATTAAAATGCTAATTATACAGGATTTGAATGACTTGAGTGTAAGTAAATGTTGAAAGAATTCTTATTTTAACCACCTTGTGTAAAGTAATGAAATCTCTGAAAAAAGATTAAAGTTTTTTTCTGCCAGATAAATGCTGTCATGAAACTCTAGATGGTGCAGGCTGATGATATTCACAGCGTTAAACTACTTGGCACGAGCTGATTGGTTCATGTTGCATACGCATGCCAGTAAGCTTACTGCTTTACATTTTAATGGCTGGTTAGCATTCTCTAGAGTATTTTGCAGTGCACTTTCAGAGTTCCTCTGAAATCCTTCACCTTCCCCAGCTCCACCTGTATAGATCTGCTACAGGTTATTATTATATACTACTTGTACAGCAGCAGTATGTCTTAAATACTCACAGCCCCATATGCATTGGCAGTAGCAAGTTCCTGTACTTCCTGTACCAAGACCAAGTAGATTAACATTGTCATATCTATTACCATGCTGAAATCTTTTGAGAGTTGTCATGATAGAAATAAAGTTGAGACTAATCTAGTAAAACTGCTCACCTTTAATGTCCTTCTCTTTATTTCCAGACCGGCAGTATTCCCCCTGGTCACCATCCCGAGATTTCAATGAGGATAGTAGCCTCGCTCCACCCAGGAACATGAAGGGCTTATCAGGTGGTCGTGCACCGCACCAGATTCCCACACTGCCCCCGTGTGGACTGGCGGAGTGCGAGCATCTCCATGACCTGCATGGCATGCATGTGTCCGATCTGCGCCACTCCTACCTGCTCAGCCCCACAGAGACCTGCGCCATGGACTTCCATCATCGTTTTTCCCCCCGCAGCTCCATTCACTCCGACTGCATGATCATGTCACCTGTGGCGCTAACTTCCACTGCCCCCGCCGACCACGTCTCCAGCAGCACCTTTCCCAGAATGCACTACAGTTCGCTGTACTACGACCCAGCTGCCCGGGAAGACTGTGCAGCCATCACCACCTCAGCCACATCCGCCGCCGTCGCTGCTGCAACATCTGCCTCTCACCACATCAGCAGCAAGAGCAACCGCATCCCCGCAAACCTGCTGGACCAGTTCGAAAAACAGCTTCCACTTCATCGTGACGGCTTCCACACACTCCAGTACCAACGCACATCTGCCGCCACTGGTGGGGAGCAGCGGAGTGAGAGCCCCGGTCGCATCCGACACCTGGTGCACTCTGTCCAAAAGCTCTTCACCAAGTCCCACTCACTGGAGGGATCGTCCAAGATGAATGGCACCAAAGCTGACAGTGGAGGTGGGGGAAGCCATCACCATCACCACGGCAATCATCACTCATCCAAGCATGGCAGCAGGCACAGTAAAAGCAAGGAGCGCAGGCACCGGTCAGGGACAGGGGGCTGGTGGAGCTCGGATGACAACCTAGACAGCGACAGCACCTACCGCACGGCCAGCGCCTTGAGCCGCCACCGTCATGGTCACAGTTTCCCAGAATCCATGCACACTCACTTTGGAGACCACTCTCTCAAAACCTCCAAAAGCAACAATGACGTCAAGTGTTCGGCCTGCGAGGGCTTGTCCATGGCACCTGAGGGGAAGTTCATGAAGAGGAGTTCCTGGTCCACACTCACCGTCAGCCAGGCCAAAGAGGCCTACCGAAAGTCCTCCCTAAACCTAGAGAAGCCCATGATGCATCAGGAACTTAAACCATCATTCCGGTCCTCACACTACCTACAGGTGAGTCATGGCTTTCTTAAACATATCCACTTCCATCCTTGAGAAGATGATATGATGGTGCCCCAAATGCCTTTCAGAAATGAACCAGTAGTTATATGATGGGAAAGATGAACAGTTGGTTTAATGGTTTCCTTTTATATGATAGTGTCTTCATGGAGGAAATTAGTAATTTTATTGCAGGTGTTCAATGTACGTATATCTGTTTGATTTTGGCGTAGATTTTGACAAAACATTCCCTTAGACATTGAATAATTGACAAGATGGCAATATGTTCATTTTATTAATATGTAATGAAAATCGTTTTGTGATATCCTACCTGTAGATCAAACAGTAGAGCATGGTGCAAGCAATGCCAAGGTCTTGATTTCAGTTCTGAGGAAAAGTAAGAACTGATAAAAACCTACCCTGAAATACTGGATTTTGGACCAAGGTGCGGCAACCCATAAACCCAATTAACTAAATGCTACTGAAGTGTAATTTCATGTATTTTGATTGCATTTTAGCATCGTTGCAAGGGGTATAAGCAGTTATTAGTGTAAAATCTTACACTCTCTTTTAGAGCCACTTTTCTCTATCAGGTGAACCACTGTCCTGGCAGAGCAACATTTCAATGAGAATCCAGGCAAGTTAGTTCAATTCAGTATGTTTATGGCAAATTGCCTGAAAAACAACATATTTTGTTTAATGGCACATGTATTTGAAAGTAACTCTATTAAGTACTGTGGTTTGTTACCAATGGTCAGACCAATTCAAGACCATTGACACACAAACTGTTTCGTCACTAGTTTAAACCCAAGGGGTGATTCATGAACTGGAGAATTACAGGGATTTCCAATCATGATGGTGCCCTTGAGCAAAGGACTTTACCCCAGGTTACTCCACAGTGATTGTTCTTATAATAAAAGTAGTCTTTGAATAAGAAACACATAAACGTTTAATTTATACTGGCCCCTTAGATGATAGATCTACTGGTTTTGAGTGTCTCTAAGGAGAAACTGTCTGTTTCGTCCACTTTCTTTTACTGAAACAGATGTGTGTGGGGCAAAATGCAATTGAATCCAGTAATTGATTATCTAGTGTTATTGTTTAAGGCCTGTGGGAACCATTGATGCCTAAGAAGGAGGGATCAATACAAACAGGATCCGTGATGTAGTGTAAGACTGTGCCGTTAAAGCATGTAGTAGTGAACTTTTATTTGATAGATGGCTAGATGTTTGAAGCATTTTTCATCAAATAAATGATATGATATTTCATAAGTTTTGTTTTGTGCAATAATGCCAGAGGAAATAATTAGAGGAAATAATTAACTGCGCTGGCATATACGTTTTTCTGTTTTGTCGGTAAGTGCCAGAAGAGGGACTTTTATGTTGACAGTGCAGGAGCTTTTATTTTGACAGTGCAAAAAATGCCAGCATGTTTTAACAGTCAAAAATATCCATATTAGTACACCCCTGATTTCATTTAGGAGATTTTAACATATCTGTCAAAACAGATCTGAATAAAATCAGTTATCGTACTGGAATGTAAGGACAATTTGAGTGCATTGCATTGTGGTATATATTATTTCACACATTGTGCTTTGTTGTATACTGCCTCTGATTCTCATTTTGAATTATGGCATGAAGCACACATAGGTCATGCTGACTGCTACACAATTATTCAACTAATAAGTTCCTGACATCTAACTGACATCTTCCTCCTTGAAGGATAATTATGGTATAAGTACCAGTGGTCTCCTTGTTCTGAGGAGCTAAGGACTACTTTGTAAAAATCATCAGCACATACAGCATTGGCATGTTTGCATAGGAAAAAATGAAGCCTGTCTTCTTGCTGACCTTATTAGAGACTGTCAGTGCTCAAGAGAAATGACAGTCTGGCTGAGTTGTAAGTGACATGAAACTGGATACACTCACTAATTAACCATTCAGGAATAACCGTGAACTTCAAATTTGATTTCATTATAAGTCAGCTGTGTTCCAGTGTGCTTAACCAGATAGATGTGTCTTACATGCATGGTTTGTAACCGTTTAATATGAAAACCTGTAAAGGTTAGGCTTTGTGAGAATTTAAATTAAGCTGATAAGTAAGAAATGTCCAGGCAAGCTGTGTCAGATGTTTCTTCTAAAATCCCTCTTTTCCATTGTCTAGCCTCGTAGGATGTATATGAATAGACGATTTTGGACAAGTAGTCGGTAGATAATGTATAAGCTATAAAATGTTTAAGTAAATGTATAAGCTATGAAATAAATGTATATACCATACTTAATATAAGCCTTGATATTGTGTTTTTAATACACATTCAGTTTATTAGTATCACAAAATTCTTACCTGTTTCATTTATATATGACTGACAAATATAAATGACATAATCAGATAAACTAATAAATCAAGTTTATTAGTTTATTTTAAAACTGTGTAATCAAATAGATTTCTGGAACTAGAAATCCACTGCCCAATTTTCAAAGTCATCAAGACAGTTTAATTAAGTTACTAGAACTTTTATTATTATTATTATTGGTTACACTTTAAAATAACTTTCATTAATAACAGATAATCATTAACAGATTATTGTTTCATGTAAATTGAAATGCTTACAAATGTACTTAAGCTTTCAAATTCATATGATCATGCACTTCGTGAAAATCTACACATGATTTTAACATGTTATACAATGATTAAAAGCTTTTGTTAATGTACAACACTTTTGCTGCTATTGAGGTTTGATACGGGTTAAGTTAAATAGGGTGAATTCAGGTAATTTGGGACACAATTTGGCATTGAGATAACTACTTAGTAAAAAGTAATAATGATTAGTAAACGTTTATAAACATTTACAATCGATGAATAGTTTCCACTTTAGACTGAGTACTGCAAAACATGACAATTCGTTGATTAGTTAAGATGCGTAAATAGTAGAAGTCCACACAACAAATGAAGGCCAAACATATGACCTTTACAGACTGTGATTATGAGTTCATGAATAATATGTTAACATGAAGAGTTTGTGAAGTGACTGAAAATGACTAATTAAGCTATTTTTTTCACAACATTTGTAAATGTAAAAAGAGCATTAGGTAATCTATGAAGTGAAGTTTAAAACCCTCATCCGTCCCTCGGGTCATTTTGACCCAAAACTAATTTTTAAGAATTTTTAAAAATCGAGTGTTGATCGTTATGTTATGAGACTTTACTTTTGTCACACTTGAACCGGCAATACATGAAAAAAATTAGAGTGAATTCGAGCAGTTTAAGTGGGTGTTATATAAAAAGTATCAAAAGTGTCTCCTGCGGGTCATTTTGACCCGTCACTGGAAAAGCATGGAATTTACGAAAAAACTGCGGATTTTTTTTATTTAATTTTGTCACACTTGAGCATGGAGCACACACAAAAAAATTTGAGTCGATTCGAGGATTCTATGTGGGTGTAATAAAAAAAGCAACAAAAGTGTCCCTCGCGGGTCATTTTGACCCAGCCATATGAATGAATGGAATGTCCGAAAAAAACAGCATTTTTTTATTTATTTGATTTTTTTTACTATATAAAATCTGACGCAATCCAGAAAAGATGCATACCCAAACAAAGGGCTCAGACTGCAGAATGTCCCCAATGCACAAAAAACTCACATACCCACACACACAAACACACACATGGCACACACACTCCCATTGAAACACATTATAGCATTCATGATGTCCCGGGGTTATTTTCCCCCGCCACTGGAAAAGCATGGAATTTACGAAAAAACTGCGGATTTTTTATTTTTTTATTTTGTCACACTTGAGCATGGAGCACACACAAAAAAATTTGAGTCGATTCGAGGATTCTATGTGGGTGTAATAAAAAAAGCAACAAAAGTGTCCCTCGCGGGTCATTTTGACCCAGCCATATGAATGAATGGAATGTCCGAAAAAAACAGCATTTTTTTATTTATTTGATTTTTTTTACTATATAAAATCTGACGCAATCCAGAAAAGATGCATACCCAAACAAAGGGCTCAGACTGCAGAATGTCCCCAATGCACAAAAAACTCATAGGCTACAACCAACTGTATTTATCTTCATCCGCCCTCGGGTCATTTTGACCCAAAACTCATTTTTAAAGATTTTTTTAAAAATCGAGTGTTGATCTTTATGGTATGAGACTTTGTTACATTTGTCATATGACTTGGGTCATTTTGACCCGTCACTGGAAAAGCATGGAATTTACAAAAAAACTGCAGATTTTTTTTATTTAATTTTGTCACACTTAGGCATGGAGTCGATTGAGTCAATTCGAGGATTCTATGTGGGTGTAATAAAAAAAGTATTACACCCAGAAGTATTACTTTCATTTTGACCCGGCCATAGGAATGAATGGAATGCCCGAAAAAAACAGCATTTTTTCATTTATTTTATTTTTTTGACTATACAAAATCTTACACAATCCAGAAAAGATGCATACCCAAACAAAGGGCTGAGACTGCAGAATGTCCCAATGCACAAAAAACTCACATACCCACACACACAAACACACACATGGCACACACACTCCCATTGAAACACATTATAGCATTCATGATGTTTCTGCTGTATATGCATGTGTTTGGATTAAAATTCAGTATCAACAGTATATGCAGAAATTGTGTCTTTCTTTGTTTTGTTTTGTTTGGTGAATAAATTTATAAAAATATACTCATTTTCATAAAAAATATTCAGAATTGAATGTGAATAAAATAAAAATCACCAAAAAATTATAAAAAATAAAAAAAAACCTACATAAAAAATTTGAAAAAAATAAAAATGGACCAATATAAGCTTTCTGGACCAAAAATAAAATTACTGTCATTTTTGGCCTTCGGGTCATTTTGACCCGTGAGGGACACTTTTATAGGTTCGGGAGGGACAGATGAGGGTTAAGTACAATACTCAAGTAAATGTACTTAGTTACTGTCCGCCTCTGATTAAAACATAAACAGATATTTATTTCATAACAATTGTGTCTATACATATAATTAATTGT